TACCTAAACAGTGCCTGGCATATAGTAGGTGCTTAATAAATATTTGTTGAATGAACAGATAAAATTTCATAATTAAAAAATAAAACAAAGAAACAATTTTCCTGGCCAGGAGGGTAAGATTTCCTAGGTTTGCCCAGTGGTTCCCAAGATTGCCCTCTGACCACTACCCCTCACCCTCTTTTATTGTGATTTGGTTGAAAGTTTACAGAAAAAAAATTCATTTTCCATTCATTTTGTTTCATGACACTGATTGCAATCCCTCCAATGTAACAGGTCTCCTCCCATATCCTCCCTGTGGTTACCTTTTCCCTGTGTCCTTTCCTATGCATTTCTGCCCTCTGAACTATATCCTTGTGCAAATGTTGCCCTTCTGATCTCCATAGTTGATTGTTCTAAGGACTATATCTACCTGGTATAATTATTCACCTCATAGGCCTGTCTATTATTTGGATGGAAGTTAAGCCACAGGAGTAAGTTCAATTCCAGGCCTAATAGGTAACCAGGGGCCATAGTCGGGAGTTTCACCAGTCTCTATCAGATTAGTGAGACTTTTTTTTTTAAAATAATTTTGAGTTTTGTTCCATATTTTTCTTCCACTCTGTCCAGGATCTCTAATTTTGATCCCTTTCTGAGTGGTTGGTTGGACCCCATCTAGTTCTTCTGGTCTCAGGGTCATGTAGGCTGACATTTTCATGGCCCACTAGTTCCTTGGACTAATTGTTTCCACGTGTCTTTGATTTTCTTCACTCTTCTTTGCTTCAGATGAGGACAGACCAACTGCTGTATCTCAGATGGCTGCTTGCAAGGTTTTAAAACCTCAGTTGCCACACATCAAAGCAGGGTGTAGAATAATGTTCTTGTATAGCATGTTACGCCAACTGAGCTTGATGTCCTCTGAGACCATAGTCCTAAGTCCATGAGCCCAGTAACTCACTCTCTCAAGTTGTTTGGCTGTGGCTAAGAAGTTATCAAACTTTGCCCCTGTTAGCTCTATTATATATATATGGACATTCTTATAGCACATACAAATATGTATGTAGCAATATCATCTTTCAAACCTTTTGCCTACTCACCTGATCATTTTGCCTGTCTACTTATATATCCACCCTTAAATTAATGTACCCATGACCCTATGTAGGGAAACCCTTCTTTCTCCTGGCATGGATATAAGATTTGAAGAGTATCACAGAGGATTTCTGTAGTGGATAAGTTCTAGCATCACAACCCAGCTCACATTCATTTCTTTGAAATTGTATTCTGCCCTTAGTTCTGGCTAAGAGATGAGTCTAAATGGCCACACTACCAACTCTATGCATGTTTGCTCTGGTCTCCCTTTGGTAGACCACCTTTTCTGTTTGGATATGTTCCAACAAAGTCCCAAATATGTATGACTGTACAGATTTAGCCCTCATCCAATTGAGTCTTTCCATTTCTTAGTTCTAATGTTCTAGAAGAAAGTCTGACTCAGCCAAGTCTATGAATTATTCCTCTAAGTCAGGTAACCACTCCTTTTTCAACCAGCTAAAAGTTATTGGGAGTGGGAGAGAAGGAATGGCGGAGAGAATCTCCTAGAACAAGTGGCCTCCTACGTTATATTGGATGCATTGGTTTTGGATGCCATGAGTCAGGTCTGGGTAACTAGAATTGGGGTAGAGGTGAACAAAGCCTTTAGCTTCTGTGAAGACTCTACTTCTCTTCTTGAGATGGTTAATTATTTGAGTGGTAGCATAAATACTATGGAGTTCCTAGGTGGTGCAAATGGTCAGTGGGCTTGGGTGCTAACTTAAAGGTTGGAGTCCACTCAAAGGTGCCTTGGAAGAAAGGTCTAGCAATCTACTTCTAAAACACCAGCCATTGGAAACCCTATGAAGCACAATTCTACTCTGACACATATGGAGTCACCATGAGTAGGTTGGAATTGACTCTATAGCAACTAGTTTTATCATCTCTTAACTCTGCCTATCCCTTTCTTCTATATAGTTGGTTCCTAAATCTTGGAGATTCTACCTCTTAAATATTTCTCAATCTATTTCTATGGTGACCAGAGTGCTCTATTTAAAACGTAAATTTCATTATTACTCTGTAACTTATGTGTCTTCAATGTCTCCCCATTTCCTACTGGATTAAATAATAATCTCTAAAACAGCATATAATACTCCTAGCTCTGGTAGCATAGTCCCAAAGGCACTTGACTGCTAACCAGAAGGCTGGCGGTTCAAACCCACCAGCAGCTCCTTGGAAGGTAGATGGGACAAGCTACTTCCGTAGTGATACTGCCTCGGAAACCCAAGGAGGGGTCGCTATGAGTTGGGTCCAACTCAACGGCACATAACAACAACAACATTTATGCTCTTGCTCCTGTTTATTTCTCTGTCCTCATCTCTCACCACTTCCCTTCCCTCTCCAGCCACAATGGCCTGTTGGTATTTCCTGGAAGATGACATTCTGTTACATTCCTTCATGACTCAGTTCCTCTGGATATTGTCTGGAATGTTCTACTCTTGTCTGTCTGGGAAACTCCTAGTAATACAAAGTCCTACTGCATTCTGAAGGTTTTTCTGACCTACTAAGGCAGAGTTGTGGGAGCTCTGGTGGCATAGTGCCTAAGGCATTTGACTGCTAACCAGAAGGCTGGCGGTTCAAACCAACCAACCACTCCTTGGAAAGAAGATTGGGGAGTCTACTGCCATAGTGATACTGCCTCAGAAACCCAAGGGGGGGGGTGTGTCTCTATGAGTCAGATCCAACTCAGTGGTAGTGAGTTTTTTTTTTTTTTTTTTTTTTAAGGCAGAGTTGAATACCCCTTCCTCTGGGCTTCCTTTGTCTCTGGCACACTGCTCTATTTTAGCATCTGTTGCAGTGAATTTTAATGACTTAAAAATCTGAGTTTCTAGAGGGCAATGGCCATCTCTGTGACTTCAGAGCCTGGCACAGTGCCTCACACAGAGTAGGGTCTCAAATTGTTTTTGCATAGAAACAGTATGTTTTGTTTAAAAGCAGAAAGAACTTGTCAACCAATTCATATTGCTGACCATCTCTTGGATCCAAGAATTAATGTCTGAAGTGTGTGATATTAATTCCTTCATTGACTGAACATTTATCCTAAGCCTGCACGGGAATACAATAGACAAAACAGACATGGCCTTTACTGCTCTTGTGGAATTAAAAATTTATTGGGGGAAGTTGTTATTGCATTTGTATGAATTATTAAATAAAAGAGAACATATCCCAGGGTTGGCCCATGATGTCAGCCTGAGATTTTCCCTAAAACAACCCTTTCTGTAATACAAGGTCAAAGTCTTTGCCTGTTGGATTACCCTTGCTTTTTGCATGCTGCAGATTTGACTCTACTTCTCTAACATGGAAAATTAATTTGGTTGATAAACCCAAAAACCAAACTATGTAAAATAGCTGAAGATTTTGTTTTAATCCAAGCAAAACTTTGTTTTCAGAAATCTGTGAGAGTTAGGATACATGAGTGGCTTTATAGCTTCCCAAGTGCTTTTGCATTTATAGTGGTATTTGATTTTGCTTGTGGGGAAACCAAAGGAATGTAGGAGAGAGCATTCAAGAATCAACAAAATAAAATCTTCCTCTTAGGCTGAGATGGGGAGGGACTACTTTTAGGCAGTGAGAGGTTATTATATGTAATATATGCAATTATGCAAATAAAAGTCCTAGTCTCCCTGATGAGAGTCCATAAGACACAAACTTTTACTACAGGCAGTATGACTAGAGGAATGAAAGAAGCTGCCAGGTCACAGCATTTTGAAAAGCAGCAAAAACCATCATAAAACCAAGGCGGAAAAAACAAAAACAAAAACAAACCAGTTGCTGTTGAGTTGATTCTGACTCATGGTGACCCTTGTGTAGCTCCTGTGAAAATCAGGTATCAGAAAGTTTGAATAAACCCAACCAAATTCTAACTATCCTTTTATCTCTCCTCCCCAGTCCTACCCTGGAAGGGGCAGGTGTTGCTTCCTTCTCAGTTAGGGTTAGCTATAAACCAGAACAAGCTGGAGTCAAAATAACCAGGGATGTATAATCCCTTAGGTCTTTCAAAGGCATAGCAGCCAGCATTAAAGAGGACTGGCATTCTCTTTTAAATGTTGCTTAGAAGAAGGGTTTATCTTTTTTAATTAGGCTGTTACCCCTTCAGCCTCTCAGTGGGAGGTGGTAACCTACTGGGAATTGTGGAAGAACCAAGAAGCAATATTCTTCCTGTTAGGTGGTATGCTTCTGAGGTACCTTCAGAGGTTTGATACCACAAGGGGTTAAACATCAGAACCCTCATTTTGATGTATAAAAAAGTCCCAAGTACTGACAATCTCCTAAATTGAGGCTGAAGTTACTTAGGTTAGGAGCTTTGAAAAAAAAAAAAAAAAAAAATCAAGTTTTATAAAAGTTACAACCTTAGTGCATCAATTAGTCCTGTACTAATATATATATGTTTCCTTTTTCGGGGAATCTTGAAGAAAATGGTCAGTTTTCTTGATCATCTTTTTAAAATAAAAATTGTAGGCCAGGTAGAGTTTTCAAGTCAACTGCTCCTTGGGAGTTATGGGGGCAGAAGAAAATGGCGAGGGTGTAAAACTACAGATTATTCCATACCTTTCACCAGTACTAAACAGAAACCTACTTTGGTCTTCTGATAGACTAGTTTTCCAAAAGAGAGTTTGGGCTTTGGCCTAAAACCTCTTCTGAAGTCACTGTCTTGTGCAATTAAATACAACCCCTGGAGGGCTACAGTAGTGATACATTTCATCTACAAACTTTGGAATATAATTGGAACAAAAACTCTGGTTTTCTATCCCACTCAACAGCCGGAAAAATCTATGTACAAATGGGCATTACTTTTCTCAAAATTGGACACTGCCCATTTCCTGGATTAATTTTACCACTGTAGTTTGCCTTCTTGTTTTGTCGGACAGAGTTGCAACTGTGATGATAGAAGGAGATTCTTGCTCTGGTTCGGTGGTGAGGCATGGTTACCAAGGGTCTCATTCTGGTGCTGGAACCTGGAGTGGGATATTCTCACCCCCTGGAGCCCGGTGTGGGTTATACCCACTCTCCCCTGGAGATAGAAGGCAGTCACTGCCAGGCTGTCTGCTACCAGGAACTCTGGACTCAATTGTCCCCATCAGATCTTCTAAAGATTTGAATGTGGCCGACTTCTTCATGTCTCCAAGCTTTCTACAGATGGTAGAGCCCACAGTAGACAGGGCAGCTGATGTCTTTTGTTTCCTGTAGGCATTGGAGACCTGGACATCATGGCAGCTCTTGGACAGATCCTGCCTCAGTCCCATCAAGGCTGGGAGGCCCAGCTTCCTCTTGAGCTCCCCGCTGTGCCTCTCTTTGACTGCAAGCTTGTGGCATAGGGTTAAAATCTCTGCTTCCCATTCAGTGAGCTTGGATTTGAGCTTCTTTTGCTGCTTCTCCAGCAGATCCTGTAGATTGGAAGTCATGTGGGATTCACATATGCCCGCAGGGGCATCTGTCATGGTGTCTGGCTTGGAGTGGGAAAAGAGATCTTCATTAATGCAGTCCAGGTCCAATTCTTGGTAGAGAGAGTAGAAATCTTGGCCAGAAGAGTCACAGTTGAGGCCTTCGAGGTCAGATTCTTGGTCGGTGTATTCGGAGTGGGAGGGATACATAACTTGACTGGCGAAATGAATGCCTAGGCCAGAGGGTCAGCGGGTACAGACTGGCCTGCGACCTGGGGCCTTGGCCTGCAACTTGCAGTTGTGGCTGTGTCGGGTAGGGTTGGGGAGGTGGGATTTCCAGCCAGAAGGCAGGATCTGGCTAAACCAGCTCAGCCAGATTGTGGCACCCCCTCCCCCCAGGGGTGTTTAAGTGTCACAAGAAACTGGCTGAGGTAGGCAGTGCTGCCTTATTGCCAGAGGAGAGGGCTTTACTTCCTGCCACAGTAGGTGACAAAGCCTGGCCTCCAAACCAAGTGGATGTCTGGCTCCAATTCTGGACTTTTCACCACATCAAACATTTTCAAACCCTTGAAAATCAATTGAAACCTTTGTGCTAACAGGAATTTATGGAAAAGTTCGATACATAAAATAAAAACTCTTGTGGCATAGTACCTAAGGCATTTGACTGCTAACCAGAAGGCTGGCAGTTCAAATGCACCGGCCACTCCTGGGTAGGAAGATTGGGCAATCTACTTCTGTAGTGATATACTGCCTTGGAAACCTAAGGAGGAGTCTCTGAGTCACACTGATTCCGACAGTGAGTTTTTTTGTTTGTTTGTTTGTTTGCTCCAGACAGGTCCCAGGCTTATCCTCTTCCCCGTTTTCCTTCTCAGATTCTCAAAGGGGTTCCTGAGAAACTCTTAGCAGCACTTCTAAAGTTAATTTGAAGGCTTCTCAAACTCAGAATCCAAGAGTGACAGATGTGGCCCCAGTGAAGTAGCAACAATACCAGAGACTTAGAATAGCAGAACTCAGAAAGCAAGTTGGAGGAGTCACAACTGTCATATTTTTGGTGGAGGGCGGGAGAATGAGTAAATATGTACTGGTTTTGTCAAATTTAAGCTTAATAAAAGCAAAGACTATGTATTGTACAGTAAGACTTTAGGAAAGAGGGGATTTAAAAAAACAAGAGCTGTGTAGCCAATCCCAATTCATGGCAACACCACGCATGTCATAGTAGAATTGTGCTCCACAGGGTTTTCAATGACTCATTTTTTGGAAGTAGTTAACCAGGTCCTTCTTTCGAGGTGCCTCTGGGTGGACTGGAACTTCCAGTGTTTCAGTTAGCAGCAGAGTGAATTCACCATTGATACCACCCAGGGACTCTCGAGAGGGAATTCAATATGTGCAAATGGACAGTACATAGATTCTCAGTATTGCAATTGCATATTTTCTTTTTTTCTCCTGCATACACTCACATTTTTGAAAACATGTCTGCCCATCATACATGGTTATCAGTTGTGGGAGGTGGTCTGCACAATAAAGTAGGAGTGGTTGAATATGGTCTGTAAGAATGACAATCCACTATATCCTTTATTTCTGCTCTAAACTTGTATCTTATACAATGGAAAAATCACTAGATGGCCCTTACCAGGGAATATCCTTGAACAAGTCTTAATTCTAGTGATTTTGTTGTATATTCTGATAGTTCTTCCAAGCATAATCTTGTGCAACATAAGATGATTCTCAAGAAATTTCAGCAGTTTGCCACCGTTCATGGCTATGTGGCTACAGTGAATCTTACAACTGTGTATTCAAATCAACTCCAGTCCTCTGGGTTTATATTCTATAACCTTTCACATACTTGGTGTTTACTACTATCTCATTCTTGAGTGTGGGCTTACCTGGATTAAAAGATAAGAACTCTTTTTGTTGGAAACATGGAGGCCGATGAGGGATTTTACTATGCATATGAAACACTGAAAAAGGTAGCAAAGGCTTCTTAAACATTAGTTTGTTCTGGAGAGTGGATAATTCCTCCTCTGGTGGCATAGTGTCTAAGGCATTTTCTGCTAACCAGAAGATTGGTGTTTCAAACCCACCAGCTACTTGGCAGAAGGAAGACTGGGCAAGCTACTTCCATAAAGATTTACCTCCTCGGAAACCCAAAGGGGGCTGCTATAGGTCAGAATCGACTTGATGGCAGTGAGGTTTTTTTTTTTTCCTGCTACAAACACTAGTGATTCCAGTAACACTCCTAGGTGCTGAACCATAAACATCCTTGTCTTAGTTACCTCGTGCTGCTATAACACAAATAGAACAGATATTTATTTTCTCATAGTTCTGAAGGTTAAAAGTCTAAGTTAGGGTCTCGGCAGTGTTGATTCCTTTCTTGTCAGCCCTGGGCATTCTTGGTTTCTTGACATTCCTTAGCCTACAGATGATCTTCACATGTTGTCTGTCTTCCCCTCTGTGTGTATGTCCATTCTGCCCTTTTTATCACTCAGAAGTGATTAGATGTAGAACCCACCCCACTCAGATATGACCTAATTAACACAATAAAGAAAACCTTATTTCCAAACAGGATCATATTTACAGGTCTAGAGGCCAGAATTTCAACTCATATTTTTGATAGATAAAATTCAATTCATAACACTCCTCTTCCAAATTTGAAGATGAAGGGGAAACAGAAGCCCATGAACGAAGCTAAATAACATGGAATGCACAAAGTTGAGTCTAAGTCACCAGATCTGATTGCTAACCAGAAGGCTTGTGGTTCAGACCCACCAGCCACTCCTCGGAAGGAAGGTGGGGTAATCTACTTCCATAATGATACCACCTCGGAAACCCAAGGAGGGGTCACCATGAGTCAAAATTGACTCAATGGCAGTGAGTTTGGTTTTGGTTACCATTCTCTTGATTGTTTCAGCCAACCACCTATCTTGCTGCCTATTTTTTTTTGTTTCTATTCTTCCTCACCCCTCAATTTTCAAAGTATGAAGTACTTCTTTGTTAAAGTCTTTGATTCCTTTGAATAGGTAAGTAGTTTTCCCTCATAATAAAACTGATATGGCCTCTATTCAGTGATTTGATTGTTGTTGTTGTTGTTGTTATGTGCAGTTGAGTCAAACCCAACTCATAGCGACCCCTCCTTGGGTTTCTGAGGCAGTATCACTATGGAAGTAGGATTGCCCAACCTTCCTTCCGAGGAGTGGCTGATGGGTTTGAACTGCCAGCCGTCTGGTTAGCAGGCAAGTGTCTTAGCCACTATGCTACCAGAGCTCACAGTGATTTGATTACCAGATCCCAAATAAAGACATGGCTTCTGGAAGGGGTGCTCCTAGCTGATGATGTTCTGATCTCCTGAGAGGACCTGGATTAATAAGTAGCATGATGGCACTATCCATTTTATTAGGATATTATGCATATAACCAGAAGTCTGGCAGTTCAAATCCACCAGTCACTCCTTGGAAGGAAGATTGGGCAAACCACTTTCGTAGAGAGACTGCCTCAGAAACCCAAGGAGGGGTCACTATGAGTTAGAAATAATTTGACAGCAGTGATTTTTTTTTTTTTTTTGTACCCTCAAAACAACATATTTTGAAAACATTTTTAACTCATAAATCTATCAAATGACATTCCATTCAATTTATAGTGATTCTAACCCAATTGTTTGAATGCACTCTTTAGGTATAAAATACAAATTATATCTTCATTGTTTCAGAATTCCACATCTCTACATTAGATAGTGAAATCATCTATTTATATTACATGGTAAAGCCCATAAAATTATATCTCTGGCACTTCTGCTTTTTGATCCTATTTATTTAGACAGTAAAACCAACCAAAATATTTGATTCAGTGACCTACAAAGAAAGAGCTTAAAAATTGTTATTAATCCCACAATGATTTGCTACACTTTGTTTTCAAGGAAGACGTTTCTGACCCATTTTTAGCAAAGAATGAATTTTGAATTATTTCTGTAGTAGGGATGATGGATATATACCAATCCAAATGTGTTATCTAATTTCCTTTATAAATGTAAAAATAGGTAATACAGCAAAGTAATGTCTTTTCTCTTAATGTTTAAAACAAACAAACAAACCAAACCCATTGAGTCAATTCCAATCATAGTAACTCTTTAGGACAAAGCAGAACTGCTCCATAGGGTTTTCAAGGCTTTAAACTTTAAGAAAGCAGACCTCATCTTTCTCCTACAGAGCAGCTGTTAAGTTTGAACTGCTGACCTTTTGGTGAGCAGCCAAATGTCTTAACCACTACACTACCAGAGCTCCTTTCTTAATATTTAGAAGCTTGCATATATGGTGTTTTATAAATAAATTATTGAAACTTGAACATAAAAGCAAAGCCAGAGAGTTCCAGTAAGATGGCATAATAGGCAGAAAGACTGCACAGACCCTCTTCAATAAAGAAAAGGGAAAATAATTAACACAGCTACAGCAGATAATCTTGGACCCTTGAGCCTTGAAGGGAAGGATATAGAAGTGGACAAAACTCCAACTAGCAGAAGAATTTGCATGAAAACACCAAAAAAGGAGACATACAGAACTGTGGTCTGGCAGTGATCCTGATGCCACAGACAGCTTGGATATAGCCGAATGGTGGTAGGATCTAGGAATTAACCTAAAAATTGGCCCTGCTAGCCAGGGATTACATGGAGGACTGTTCTGGTGGCTAGGGAATAAAAAGGGAAGCAGTGAAGAGGAAAGCAGGATGAGCTGTGGACTGTTGTCTGTCCAGAGGGCACAGCCATTTTGAATGTTTACAAGCAGCTTGACCATTTTGGATACTTAAAGTGACAGCATTCTCCCAGATTTCAGGGAGTTAAGAACAGGCTCCACTTGCTGGGAACCCCAAGGACATTCTGGACCTGGACAACTGGAAAGGTGTGACATTCCCCTTGTTACTCTTATACCCCACACCCTCTTGGTGAATGGAGGTGTGGCCATCCCTCACTCCCACCCCTTTCTGGGCCAGCAGGAATTCCATTTCAGTCTGTGAGCTTGGACGGAGCCTGGGTGCCCTGCCCCACCCTGCCCCGCCCTGGCCCGCCCTGCCCCACCCTGCCCCAATTTTCTTTTATTTTTTCTGTTTTTTAGTGTGTTTTTGTCTGTTTTAAAACTACTATTATTATTATTATTGTCCTTTTTACTATTATTATTTAGTCTTCCACTCCCAGGTTCTAGTTTTAAGCTTTTTTTCTTTTCCCT